TCATTCATAAATTCACGCCTTTTATCTCCGCAGAGGTGTACAGGCACTTAATGCCACTGTACAATGTAACACCCACTTTTCACTATTTATGGTTTGAATCTAATGTAATTGGGGGTGAGCCAATTGTCATATACCGGACGCAATTACAGATACAGTGCTACTACGGACATTTAAAAACCCAGTAATACTTTGCCCCATCCGGAAATCGAACCCGAGACCCATTTGCGACCATTCGGCCAACGAGGCAGATTTTGGAAATAGATAAGTCTTATTTTCGAAGTCTCGAAAACAGCGTTACTATAACTTTTAACAGCAACATTAACTTTGATCAACTAAATATTACGGGTTACTCACTCAAACATACAGAGTAAATCTCTCTCTACAAGTTTCGAGTAAAGGAGGGGACTCTTCGTTATGAGCATTATACGCGGTCGCGGCGATGTCGCGAAGCCTACTGGCTACTGTCTGCATTGGTGCAACATTAACAATTTTTGTGTAATAGCAATGATATGACAATATGACTTGAAACTCGTAAGTACAGCCTTTCTTTTTTTTTATGGGATAAGCCGGTAAGCGAGGTTAGCAATGGCGTCGCCCATGGACACCTGGAACACTAGAGGTAGAGGTGTTACACTTACAAGTGCGTTACCGGCCTTTTGGGGATTAGGAATTTAAGGAATATTGGGTAGTTGGGCCTCCAGGAACCTCACTCACACGATGAAACAAGCGTTATTTCACGTCGGTTTTCGTCGTTCGTTAAGTATCGAAATTAATTTATAAATATAATATTAACTTCCGACACTGTCAACAGAAGTTTATTACTTACGTTACATGCAATATTGCTTGAAGTTGATGACGTCATGAACAGAGCGTTGGAGGCACGACTCACGACAGTTAAGCGCAATACATCACGTGCCTAGTAAAATATTCATGAGCCTCTACTTCATAACTTCTCGGGACCTACTTAGATAGGTCCTGCCCTTAATATTGAGGACATTCCTTAACTTCTTTTGTAGTTATTGGTGGTGAATAATAAAGATACTTCTTGTAATTCTCTTTATTTATTTTAGTTAGGTATTTTTTCTCTTCTTACTGATAAAAAAGGAGAAGTGGCAAGGGGGCGTGTCGGTGACGCTCGCAATTGAGCGTTCTGCTCAATTTAGGAAAATATGGCCGTCACCGCGAGTTAGTCTGTTGTCACCCGCGATCGTACAACAAACGATAAAATGCCGCCTTGTGCAGTGGTTTCGTCCCGAAATATAAGCCAAAACCAAAACTGTAGAAGTCATGGCATCGGTTACCATAAGAACAAATATTTACAATATTTATCTTAAAAATCACGAAAAACAACAAGTTATTACTTTATTTTTATTTTTCTTTATTACTCCGACTGTATTATGTCTACATTAATACATTGCTCTTTTACAACCACCTTAGTGTGACACTGAGTAACTAAACCAGCAATGTAAAGAATGTAACTTATTTATTACTAGCGTTTACCCGCGGCTTAGCTCGAGTCAAAAAGATAAGAAGTGGCCTATGTGACATATACCTATACACACAGCGCCATCTATACTAATACTTTTGTTTTCCCTCGGGAATATCATTTTCCGGGATAAAAAGTACCCTATTATTTAATCCGGACTTCTAACTTTGCTTCTGCAAAAATTCAAAGCAATCGGTTAAGTAGTTACGGCGTGAAAGCGGAATAAACAAACAAACCAACTTACTTTCCGAATTATAATATTAGTAAGGATATCTATGTTGCTATCTATAATCATATTATTCAATTCGTATCACTTTTCATATAAACGTGCCATTTAGTTTTTATTTAATGTTTCATTGTTTCAAGGTTTTACTTTTATTGTTTGTTTTTCTTTTCATTAATCGCTACTTAAAATCTGATGTAGGTACATAGTAAGAAAAATTCTTTATCTTGGTATCTACTCTACTATATCTAGTCAAGCGTTTCTGAATATTCTTCTTTAAATAAGCATTGTAATATTAAATTACACTGCCTCGTTGATCGAGTAGTCGCAAGTGCGACTGCCGGGCAAGGGGTCTCGGGTTTGATTTACTGGGTCCAGGTCGTGCAATGAATTACTAGGTTATTTAAAAAAAATCTCAGTAGCAGCACGGAGTATGGAATTGTGCCCGGTATATGGCAATAGGCTCACCCCCTATTACATGGGACAGACAATATAAATAGTGAAATGTGGGTGTTACATTGTACAGAGGCATTAAGTGCTGTAATGTGCACCTCTGCCTACCCCTACGGGGATAAAAGGCGTGATGTTATGTTATGTTATTAAACTACAGTACCATGGACAATTATTTGTTCACAATGGTACAGGAATTTAATTGAATGAACATGTTTCTTCTTAAACACTACAAAGGAAGTTTTTATAACTTTTATGATATTACCTCCCTTCATACATTGTAATAAAGAATAATTTGAATCGTATAATAAAATAAAACTTCATTTTATAGATCCTGCGAATCGGGAATTTATTACTTTCATAGTCAGTGGTTTTATTGAAGTTGGAAATAGCGTCTCGACAGACTAAATTGCTTTTTTCGGTGAACGATTTTCATTTACTATCGTAATATAATATTTAATACTATTTTGAACAATTTTTTTACGTAATAGTTAAAGATATAGGTACTAAAATATACGTACCTATTGGTATATTTGTTTAGCTTTAATCTAGTAAACTGCCTCGGTGGCCGAGTGGTCGCAAGTGCAACTACCGGGCAAGGGGTCTCGGGTTCGATTTCCGGGTCGGGCAAACTATTACTGGGTTTAAAAAAAAAACTCAGTGGTAGCACGGAGTCTGGAAATGTACCCGGTATATGGCAATAGACTCACCCCCTATTACATGGGACTCATAACATAAATAATAATAAGAGGGTGTTACTTCTGCGTGCACCTCTGCCTACCCCTTCGGGGATAAAAGGCGTAGTGTTATGTTATGCTTTAATCTAGCTTAGTAAATCCTTTGGGGTATTACCTTATAAGTTTTAGGAACACAGTGTTATACAGCTAAGTGTAATAAAAAATAATATCAAGAAATTCTCCGTAATTCCATTATCCGAAACGGATATTTATTGGAAAATATGGCACAATTTTGGTAATGGATGGACAATATTATACTGTATAAAGAAATCTCTAGGGTTCAGGGAAAAAAGACGAACTTTATTTATCAACCTCAGGGATGTACTAAGGACGTTTTACCAGAGCAAAATTTTGTGTTGTCTCACGGGAATTTACGATGAATCATAATACGCCAATGGCTATGTATTGATTTATGTAAAGCTCTGCGGTTTGGCACATAATGATACATTATGATAGACATTTTATATCATTATATCATTTTATTAGGACAGCCCTATCTTTATTCTGTTCTATTGTCGAATGATCCGTGGATTTAGCTAGATTCATTTTTTGGTAAAAAGGTAGGCAGGAAGGTAGTTTTTTATCCTACTTATCTCCTAGCATTTGTCCGATATCGCCAAAGATGTGTTTGGGTTTGCTGGGACAATTCGAGATTTAGGATGGTATTAGAACAAATAAAAACTGTGACAGTATTCAAATACTTTATGGGAATGGTCAGTAATACTCGAGCCCGAGGTATAAGCGTAATGTTTTAGTGATATACGGAGCCGCTGAGGACTTAACGGGTAACCACGACTCCGGCTCGAAGTACGGGAGTAGGAACGCGGTGGTTTTTAGTCAGTAAGAGTCTGGCACTCCCTCTCGCTTCACCCGGGTGGGAGAATTAAGTCATTGGATGAATTTACCCCCTCAAAAAAAAGATCTAGTAACGACAATCGATGTGCCTACATAAGATCTTCTACATAAGAATATTTCATTCCACCATTACATAGAATAGAAACAGCCGTTATACATTATAGTTTCTGAATGAACAATCTAATATTGGAAGCATATTTAAATAATGGCGGCGTTCGCCCACGGTCGGCGACCGAACGACCGAGTGTTCCGACCAAGATATTGCAAATATTATTCCAATACATTTATTGAACAATATCACATTCCGATGTAATAAGAAACTTATATGAAATGATATTGGTTTTAATAAAAGGAGAAGTAATGGTTCTGATCCTTATAACTATTATGAAATCGGTAGTAAGTTTATTTATTTATTTGTTAGTCTCGTTATCATGCTTTAGCGTTCACTATACAGGTAAGTCAATTTGAATAAAAGCTCCAGAGATGGTTAAAGATTGCTTATTATAAAAATAATTTGGAAAATCAAAAAAATGTGTTTTCATTCACTACTATTATTCTATATTATTCAATATTCTATGTATTATCACACAGTTTTGTAGGTTAATTTCAACCTTTTTACACATTTTTTTATCCACAGTTTCATAGGTTGAAATTAAAATACGAAACTGTGTGATAATACATAGAATATTGAATAATATAGAGGTAGAATGAACCCAACATGACATGTATAGTGGAGTGGCGATGGCGAAATCACGAACAACTACTTATGAAACATTACAAAATATTCAACTTTTCAATTAAGTATTCCAAGAAGAAAATGTTTTCAAACTCCTGAATGAAGCTCAAATTATTACGAAATAGAACAAAGGACAAATAACCAAAAACAAATCAATAGAGAACTTTAAACAGTCATTTGTTATCGAATTGCACAGTTCATTAACCCCTTCATTAATCTCAAGAGTTCAAGGTCTTAATTTTCTAAATGGTAATGCTTCCTTCGGATTAATAAATAAAATGTTGATGTAATTTACTTAACTCTTCACAATAGCTTGTCTGAAAAACAAACTTTTAATCATTATAAGTGCCCACTTAAGTTAGCTAAAAATTTTCAAGTTAGTTACGAACTACCGTAAAATATACTGTGTATACCGTAAAATATATTGTGCAATAAAGTTATTACTAGTTTTTGTATCAAATCTATACCTAAGTTATTAACACATTTCATTAACTTTCAGAAACACCTGCCACTATGGGCCTCAAATGGCTATTTGTAGTGGCGTGCACGCTAGCATGCGTGAGCGCCGATCGCGGTGGATCATCGCTACGAGGTGCGCTTGAAGCGCTGCAGCGGCGCCAGCGCGGCCGTATGCATGGACCCATCCTACCACAACCCGACTACGATGCCCTCTATGAATTCGTACCACCGCAAGGATACCCTGGTATGTAAACTAAAAAATTAAGGCAATATTTATTATAACTTAAATGTCCCTACTCCCATAGTTTTATCACACAAAATTTTGCCATCTCTTATAAACGTAAACAAAAATATTTGAAATTCTCTACTCTCGTTTCAGAACCTGACTATGCTGTTGATGTCGAAGACATTGATGAGGAACCTAACCCAAAATACATCGTCAAACTTCTAGATGACAACGAAAGGCCACCTGAGGCCTATGAATACAAACTAATAAAGAAGAAGAACACGGCCAATACTGCTGCTAAGAAAGAATCAGCGTTCCGGGAAAGGAGCCATCACTCCGATAATGACCGACTTCGTGAATTATTCATGGATAAAAATGAAGGTGAAGAAAAGAAGGAACTTGACGATGCACCTGACAATGATGCTGAGTACGCACTACTCTTGGGACAACTTTGGTCAAAATACAAATACAACAAAGAACACGCTAACAATGTTGAAACTGCACCTCAAGGAGTTGTAAAACTTTATAAAGAGAAAATTGTCAAGAAGCGATATCCAGATAATTGGGGTCCTATTGCTTTTAAAAGGAAGCGCAGTTCTGATCCTGACTCCGATAGGCCGATAGTGTTTGATTACGAAGGTAGGAAAAACAGCCCAGGACCTGTAGTAGATCCTAATTACAATGCGTATGATGTTTCTGATGATGATAAAGATGATCTTCGTGAAGAATATGCCATCGCGTTCCAGCCACTTGATGATGACAGCTTGTCTGATCTAGCGGATGAAGATCAATACACTTATGACGCAGTTGAGAAGCGCTTCCCAGTAACAAAACGCAGTAGTGGCTCTTACAACCTCAATACTCAAAAGAAAAGATTTGCCCAAAACCAAAATAAACGTGACACGGCCAAGTCATTCCGAAGCAGTGCCGGAACAGATCCCAAACTTATAAAGGATCTTTCAAAAATCTTCGGTGACTCTGAAATTGAGATTATTAAAAATCCAGTAAAACGTAATACTGATCATGAAGAACACGAGCATGAAGTAAAGCCACCAATGCTAACACCCGTTCATAATTTGACTCATGAACATAACAATACTGCTGTACATGATGATAATAGCCACGAACATCACGGTCACAGCATTCATCATCCGGGAATTTCTGGCAAAGAAGTAGAGCACACACATGAACATACTCAGGGACACAGCCATGGGCACGATCATGATCATACTGAAGAAAAGAAACAGAGCGACAAAGATAAGCCACTTAACATCCGAAAAAAATCTATCGATTGGTCCGATTACTTCGGAATTGACAAGCGTATTAACAAACAGGTCTCTTTTGTAAATGGTTTAACTCAGGACAGACTGAGGAAGCAGTACTTTGATACCTTTAACAAAGAAGTAATTTACCCTGTGAACTCATACCGCAAACATAGCAACGTTAAAAGGAATTATGTCGAAACTAAACCCAACGAAGAAACTGAAATTCAAATAGATAGAGCTCATCTTGCCGTCAAAAATGACGACAAGAGGAGTGCCACTGATAATGATTCTAAACTTGACAACATCGACAAGAAGTTACGAAACATGGAAGGATTAATTGTGGATGAAGCTTTACATTATTCAAACGTTGGAGAAGAACTCGATTCTAAGGAGGAGCAAGAGATGAAGGAAAAGTTGCTGTCTCGATTAGCTGCTGCTTACAGCTTGGAAAAGATGAGGAAAGCTTTGAAAGAATTTAAGCAGAGTCTGCAAATCCAAAAAACAAAATCTAATGCAGCACCATCTCCGATTCCCACCGATGAGGCTAAGGCTAAGCGCGTGGCAGTAAAGAAAGAGAAAGTGGAATTAATGACCAATGACATTCCTGGATTTGAGAAGACTAATGACTTTGAAGATGAACAAGGAGCTGGCCATTACTTGAATGGAAAAATTGAGGAGCAGTTCTCCGAAGGTTACATGGGCGGTAGCGGACGACACCGCAACCCTGTTTTAGCCACAGGTAAGAACATTTTCAATAGCTTCTTACAAATAAGTGTAGCCGCCTTAGATCATAGTAAAAGCAAAATATTTATCTATTCTGTTTTGTAGTTGCTGCATCTGGGGCCTGTCCGGTTCTTGCCAAAATTGTTCAACGTTGCCGAGGAGTAGACTTGCTGGCAGGAGACCGCGGACAACTGTTCCTACCGCTCTGCAGCTTACATCAAATCTGCTACCTTTGCGTAAGGATTTTCATTCTATTTTACTTATTTATTAGGATAAAAGCGGCGATAATGACGATTATTTATATTTATTATTTATTTTGTTTATCCTTATAGGGAGAGGCTCCACCAACGACCTGCGACCTGGTATTCCTGTCTGAAGCTGATACGACTTGTGAGGGAGATATGAGTTGCCAGCGAGCTGCTCGCTCTGCACTGATGGCTCTGCGGGAACTCCACGACAACCTGGCTGACGAGCTCGACGGAGAGTGCGAGGCCAGTCCCTGCTTGCCAGCCACCCTCAAGCTCAACCTGGGCTGGCAGCGAGCCTTCCAGCGATAAACTGTCAACACTAAGCATGCGACATTACTCAAGGCGAGAATCACTTCAGCCACGTCACATTTAATGGACTAAGGCTTTCTCTTCATGTCTCTCAGCGAGCTGTACTCGTGATCAGATGGTATTAATGTACTTTCTTTTAATCGTCACCTAAAGGTATATCATTTCACCATTAGAATAACTAATTAATCTTTGTTATTGTATTCGTACGAGTCTAACCAGCCATAGACCCGTAGGGATATAGAGTTAAGGTTCACACAAAGTTGATCTCAATAGTTACGCCAGCTAGATGTTATTTATGCGATAATTCTACGCTTTCATTGTTAAATGTAATTTGAAATTATTATTATATTATATTGAACGTTGTATTGACTTTTGCTAGATATGTTTTTGCGATTGTATTCCAAGTGTAGTCATCTTAATGTATGTGGATCTTGGGGCAGGATTAGATGTGAGGTTTTCAAAAAATCGATGTGTTTATGAATGTCTTGACTTGAGATGGTAAATTTATTGTTGTTAAGTATTTACTTACGTATATTTGTATTAAAATGTGTCCACGTAAGTATTGAAATTAATCAGAATACTAAGTGTATATTAAATGTATGTAATTCCAAAATATGAGACTATTATAAATGGGAGTATATTCCAATGTATTGAGAAATATCATATAGGTACATTTTACATAGATGTGTACCTCTATTTATATTTATATCTATATTTTCTATTCGTTTAATTAATATTTAGGAATAAAGAATTGGAAAAGTGAGTTCTAAACAGTATTGCTTTGTCTGTTGTTGTCCCCCCCCCAGCCACCATCTGGCCTGAGATTGAGAGCGCATGTACTAATGTAGCGTGGAACTTAGACTTTACTAGGACAATAAATCATTTGGTTGACACAGAAGTGACGCGGCCCAGCACTGCTGCACCGCCAGCAGTAACAGGTCTGACGTCACCAAGTGTCTTTTAAAGAGTGGATACACTCGCTCTCTAAGTCTTCCGATCAAAATTTGGCTTCAAAATGTCCTTTGTACCGAATCTGACCGCGTTGTTTACAACTCCCTTGCGAAATTTACAATGTTTTATCTCGAAATTTACAATAAATGTTAGTCGGAGTGATGAGAATTAGATAGAATTATATGAATGTAATTTATTATAAAGATACTACTGTACGGTATGTACCGGTCGTTTTAACAACTTGAATGTTATCACTTTATTCAAGTATTATTACTAACACCCAAATATAAATGGTTTTCAATAAAAAATGTTTCAATCATATCTTCATTTTTGTACTACCTATATTGTTAACGCGTATCCCTGAATCTCCCTTTTCCTAATACCCCATTACTGAGGATCGTACCTCTATTATTTTCAATCCATAACCCTACTGAATAAAAGCCAAGTTTTTTGCCTAGAAACTAAAAAAACAACACCAAAATCATCGATAAAAATATCATTATTCGATTAAAAACTAATAAAGAAAATAAATGGCAAAGCAACAAAGAAATGACGTAAAATCCCTTTTCAAAGTATTATACAGATTAACACACACGTAAATACAACACGTAACATTGATGTAATTAATGTACCAATCGCAGTACACGTCGAAGCTGACTCGATAATAACTGAGATATCTCTATTGATAACTCGATAGCAAACGAGTAAAACTCTTGATAACACAGTTTGTCTATACATGGACAACAAATAACATCTACCTGTTTGTAGTGAAAGAAATAGTGAAACTTAAAAAATACGGTAATATATCTCAAAATGGCGGACACAAGGCAAGAAAATAAAGGAGTTGATAATCCTGGAGCTACTACAGGTAAATGGAACGTTAATTACATTGTTATACGGTAAAATAAAGTAGATAAGATATAGACAGAACATTAAATACATGTTGCAACAGGAAGCAAGGAAATACACGTAAGTATTTTTATAATGAATCGTCCTTTATCGTCTTTACCGTCCTGTCTAAGTCTTAAGGAAAAATCATCAATTCTCTTGAGAAATATGTAGGTAGATTTTCAAAGCAGTTTAATACATCCTGCTAATAATTTGCATTAAATGTAAATAAAAATAAACTTTATATACGTTGAGTACAGAGAACTGAAATTCAATCATTGATATCACACTTTTTGATTTCTTTTTTATTAATTTTGACATTAAATTAATAGTAATCTAACAAAACGCCCTTCCTCTCTCCTACCAAATTTTAATGTTGCTGTGCCCGACAGGGTCCATAATTGTTACTAATTGTATTTTCTAACCACCTGTATATGTATCTACATTATGGATGCAATATACATATGCAATATACAATATACTTTTTTTTTATTCTCCTTAATTTTATTATTTTAGGGGGTTTTTATCCATATGGATACGTCAACCCCATCGTACCTTATGTAATTAAATATACTCTGTAAATGAAAGGGAATCATTAACAAGGTAAGGTATGACATAAATAAAAGAAAAGTTATGTCACTCTTACCAGTTCACACAATCCCTTTGCAATCTTGGTTTTAGGATTTGCATACAATATACTTGATTACTTGATTACACACACTTAATTGAATTTTTATGCGCAAAGCAAAGGAAATTAATCCCAAAAATATATACACACTGAACAGACAAACTTCGTGCAACTTCAGCACGACTAAATAAACACAGCTGTCCCTTATACCTACCTAATAATTATATATATGTTACATGATTTTTATACTATTTACAGACGACGGGACACCTGCGAGACCAGACTTAGTTATCAGTGTACAGCCAATGCAAGGTAACCTTCACAAACATTATCATACCTGTAAAAAATGCCTGAACGAGGCAGCTCGTTGGCCGATTGGTCGCAAGTGTGACTGCTGGGCAAGGGATCTCGGGTTCAATTCCCGGGGCAAAGGATTACTGAGTTTTTAAAAGAAAAGTATTAGGTAGTATTACAGAGTATTTATAATATAAATAGTGAAAGGTGGGTGTTACATTGCAGTGGCATTAAATGCTGTAATGTGCACCTCTGCCTACCCTTTAGGGGTGCCGTGATATTATTTATTTATTTATTTATAAATGAAATATCGAATACGTATAACAGTTAAAGATATTATCAGAAGTAATCCTTTGCAATCCCTTTGTTCTAGATACACGAATGAAATAAAGGATAAAAGACTATAACTAATTATAGGACATTAAAATTAAAGTAATTTGTACGATTTGTTTTTTACAAACGTTTGATTAGAACCATCAAAAACTTAACCTAAAGTATTAGCACGGTGGTATCATTAGTTTGAAACTTCATAATGGAATTCAGAATCACAATGAAACCGTTTATGTTTTTATAATAACTATAGTAAGACATACTACATTAACTAAAAGTCTGAGAAATCTACTGAGAAAAGCTCTACTAGTTTCGAGGTCGCCGCGACCGCGCACGCTGCTCATGAGGAAGAGCCCCTCTGTGGCTAGAAACTACTACAGCTTTTCTCAGTATTTTCACGTGAGTAATCCGCGATTTTTAATGAAATCGTTTATGTTCAGGAACAGCTCGTGCCCAGTTACCAGTGCCCACTGTGGACTGGCGTACCAACAACCGAGGCCAGTTCATCCCCATACATGGACTGGAGTTCCTTATCGGCGTCTCCAGCCTGCTCATACAACAAACAGTGGAACTGAATGATCGTAAGTTTATGTTTTATACGTAAAAATAGAGAAAATATATTATAGTCATTCTTGATATGGTCAGATCCAGAATCCATACAGGAAGTCTACCAGATTTGGACGTGGAGGCTTGATCAAAACATACACAATAAATAACTGAAATTACTCAATTACTTGTTTTTTGTGTAATCAAAACAAATATTGCGCAATTTTAATAAATATATTACATATATTATACAAATTTAATAGGTTACTAAACCTACTATATTAAACCCGTTATACTAAACAAAATAAAACTGAAATTAATACTTTAACACGATTGTATTACTTTCATACAACTTTGTCAAGACTGATTTTATCTAAAGAATTCATTGATCAGATTCTTGACAAATGACTCACGATAATTACAATAAAAGGTTGCCTTTTTACCCATAAGAATGAATTTATTAGATAGGCATGCCGATCATACAATATAATTGAAAACAAGGAACTATCGGTCACTTGTGAACAGTATAAATTAGATAAGGCTAGGTACATGGGTACTAGATAACACTAATCAATAACTAATTTCACAATGTTTAGCCACCTTGCTTTATCTGGAAACATTTTTGGTAAACATTATGTTTGAAGGGAAGTGACAATAACTTTTCACCAGTTATGACACACACAGACATACAACTATACATTTTACTGTGTGATAAATAAGGAAACAATACGATGAATGCATCAATAGAGGTTGAAACTACTCGCGCAACTTCGGTACTTACATTTGTAAGGTCTTCGCGTGCCCCTGCTTGAAAAAAAGCTCTGAAAATCCCCACTTAAATTACTCGCAATACAAATGGAAGATAGAGACATAGATAATTTCTTATTCTACCACCTAAAAGAATGATATAAAATAATCAAGCAATATTTTATAATTTTCCAGTGACATCAAAAATCGAGTCGGAAAACAGATACATAGTGCGAGTGCCCAATGGCGAAGCTTTATATATAGCGAGCGAGACCTCAAGTTCCACGCAGCGCTGCCTCTGTGGGACAGGTCGAGCCTTCACTCTTCACCTACATGACAACACCAGGCAAGAAGCCATGGTCTTCAGAAGACGACTGGCTGCTGCATCATGTTGCTTTCCTTGCAGATTACAGGTCAGTTTAGCTTTGACGCTTTTATTTATTTATTTATTTATACTTTATTGCACACACAGAAAAAAATTGTAAACATTGCAATAGTAATTTGAGTACAATGGGCGGTCTTATCACACGCGGCGATTTCTTCCAGACAACCTGGGAAAAAACAAAACAAAAATCTGGGAATGAATCTGAATCTTTTATATGCCAAGATTTTGTTCAAAAGAGTCTTGGATATCAGTAGACATATGTAAGACCCAAGGACTTTCAAAAGGCGAACACAGCCTTTTGAAACAACGATTGTGGCATCCGGTTACTGTAGACTTACACGCAGTTCATACACACATTGACACGAAGGGCATCTGCCATTTTCTTAAGTCTGGTAACCCATTACAGACGCACACATAAGTAACCCACTGACGTTTTAATGCTTTAATACTCTTTTCAACGTCCTTAGTATGTCCTATGTACGTCCTATAGGCTATCACTAGGCGATATTCCGTAGTCCAAAAGTTTTATAGAAATCTAATGTATAATTATTGAATTGCTACTTTTGAGCGATATAATTGAGGAAAGTACTTAATTCTGAAATTACTACAATTCTTATATTCCGCACAAAACATAGTTATAATATTTACTAGTCAATTCTAATACTTCATAATAGTACACACTTGACACTACATGACATTAATGTGCATTTTACTTTATGTATTTAGACAAGAGCAGTCATTTATAAGTAGACAGATATTGAAAGAGGCAGAACTGTTGATCATTTGTATTTGTTGTGACGTTTTTCATGTTTATTCCCTTATCGAATACAGAAGCGAATAACATCCTTCATAATATTTTAAACACTAAACTTGTTTTATTTATTGTAATCACAAATGCATACAGATAATAATATATGATATGCAAGTACTGCTCTACTCCTTTGTTTATTATTATTATTGATGAGTCTATTTTACCATAATAATCAGTCAATGAGCAGAGGTGGATTGAACTTATAGAGTTCAGTTCAGTCAGCACCTCATAGGCATCCCACTTTAAACTGGCGCCTTAGGCAAGTGCCTAAATTGCCTTAGGAATAATACGGCTGTACCTTTGTTTAAATAGTTACGGCAGATAGTTTCTTCTATGTATTTCCCCCATAAGTACTTCATACTCCTTGCTATGTATACACAGCAGTCAATGGTCATCATTCACAAAACAAATCTTTAAAATGTTGTTAACATAGACTGCACTAATTTCTAAAATGCTATTCATTTCTTCTATCCCCAGGAGATAAAAGTGGTGACGCCACCAGGAGACTATGTGGGTCGTGTCCAACAACAATGTACTTGGATGATACCGTTCTTCAAGGTCAAGGACGCCAATGAACAGGTGCTATTCGCTATCGAAGGACCGGATGTGCTGCTGAGGAGTGCTCTCATTATTTCTGAGTTCAGGGTAAATTAATCCTTAAAAACCACTAACAAACTATATAATTACAAATACAACTTTCAAAATAGTTTTGGATATTGTATGAGTAGTGGAACAATGGAAAACTATTCATCAAATAAAATTAAACTGAAGGCCATATTTTTTAATACCACGACGGTGGCAAAAGAAGCACGCGGCCCACCTGATGCTAAGCGCTTGCAACACTTGGAGCATTCTATGCGCCTTGCCGACCCTTATAAAACCTAATGAAAAAAGAACTTAATTTATAATTATGTTATTTAGTACTAGAGTAATATTAGTAACAAAAGAAAGAGCATTGTTAGCATTTTCGTTTTCCAGATAATGACCAGTGACTGCCTACGCCAGGTGGGCAAGATAGCCCACGGTTGGGATAGAGACCTGAACAGCTTTACCACAACGCTGCAAGTACCTGACGCCGCTGTGCAGCCAAAACACAAAGCCTTGCTGTTAGCTGCTGCCTTTCTTCTGGTAAGTTCTTTCAGAAACTATTTGTAGGATTTTTTTTATAGGATTTTTTTTTAATGGGGGAAAATCATCGAATGACTGCTCCCGCCTGGGTGAGGCGAAAGGGAGTGTCAGACTTTTACTGACTAAAAACCACCCTGTTCCTTCTCCTGCACGTCGAGCCGGAGCCCCGGTAACCCGTTAGGTTCTCCGCGACTCCGAATCGGCATCGGCCCTATTGGGCCCCATCTGTGGTGGTCTGATGGCTCTTTGAGGCGCGCGCGGAACGCGACGCGCCATACGCTCGGGTCTGGGGGCTTACTCTTGAATCCAATTCCGATCGATCGACATTGGTATTGTGAAATTTCGTACTCTTGAGTTGCAATACAAGCGCGCATTGCATCCGTATTGCGTGGATATTGAATGAACTAAATGTTATTGAGTTTGGCTTTATATCCTGTACTCTAAATGCTATATTGACAGCTACGATTGGGGTTGTATAGTTTTGACATTGAATAATTATTGAGATATTGTTGGGTTGAAATTGCATTGATATTGAGATTGGTTTCAAGAGTAAGCACCCTGTTTCTGGTCGGACGGGGAGCCACCCATACTCGCCGTCCGCAGGCCCGCGCTTACGGTGGTCGGATATCGTCCCGCGATCCCCGACGCCCGGTGTGTCCTTCGCGATGGCATTGTTTTTTTTTCGTTTTTATAGGTTTCAACGTCTACTTTCTCTTCTATAATTGTTAATGATAAGTACTTTTTTTAATACCAATGTTTTATTGTTTCAGGAATACACGTACTTCGAGAGGTCTAAAACGAGTTGTTGCAGATTTAATTGTTGTTAGATTTAAATGTAATATTTTTTAAAATATAGATATTATTTATAATACTTTATTTTGTATAGTTTAATTAAAATGCTGGTCTAAATATCTAAAACAGTTTTATTAAAATTACTATTGTTAAGTTACTGCGCTTTTTATTTAAGAAATCAAATAACTATTTAGTCTACTGTGCGATATACATGCCATTGTTCCAATACCTAATTAAAATACCGAGAATTTTGACTAACCATAGAATCAAACTTAGAACTTGTGCATGTGCTCTATCAAACAACGGTTAACAGTTTAACCGAGAAAAAACCTACTCTTGTAAAAAATAATAATGAGTTCCTACTAGAACTGACTGCCTCGAGTGGTCGCAAGTGCGACTGCCGGGCAAAGGGTTTCGAGTTCGATTCGGCAAAGTATTACTGGGTTTATTTTTAAATCTCAGTAGTAGCACGGAGTCTGGAATTGTGCTTGGTATATGACAGTGAAAAGTGAAAAACATAAATAGTGAAAAGTGGGTGTTACATTGTACATACAGTGGCATTGTATCGACATCTACCTACCCCTTCGGGGATACAAGACGTGATTATGTTCTGTGCCTACTAGAAGTACCTATACAACCTCTGCTAACCACAGTTTCATTAAAAAAAATCTTATCTAACTCTACATAATTTCAATTTGACAAACAAGAACTGTCAAAGTTGTCGGCTTGTTTATTTATAATTTCGAAATTATTTACCTTCTTTTGTAAATATTATTTCTGTTCGTTTTTTATATAAGTGCGTTAATATAAATTGTATACAAGATGCCTTGCAATCCACCAAAGACTAACGCGGATAAGATGTGGCCGTATGATGAGTATTATCATGGAGAAAGAGATGAGGAGAACAGGAAGAATGGATTTGGGAACGTATACTGGTCTTCAGCAGAGGTTATTATTCTATAGGACATAGGCACATAGACATATGACCTACGTATTACGCGCTACTGTTAATTGCAGAAGTTCTTGTTAACATCTGTATAAAATACAGTAAATTCCGTAATGACGTGACAACGCCTTATAAATTGGTTTGCCGGGTGACACTTCAAGCATAGTATATATACTATGCTTCAAGAAACTGCGTTACGCTCCGCTCACGTTATGCGCTCACAATGAGAGCGAGTGAGAGGCACGCGTCCCTTCCACTCGGGCATGGTTAGCCCGCCTAAGAGCGAGAGAGACAGACATAAAACTTTCGCCCGTATACCGACTTTTTTATTATGATGGGTAAACCTCGGGTTGAATATCGAAGGTAGTTTTGTTGTTTATTATCTAATTGCAGTAAGTTTTGTTGTTTTATATTGTTACAAGTTCGCTATATGTAGAAAGATAAATTAAAACTGTGTTTATCGAATTCTACTCCATGGCGGTAGAAACTGCTGTCTGTATTTTTAGTAACTCCAAATAAAATGGACGAGATCGTATTCAGTTTGAAACCATTGAAAAGTCCTTTAGCACTTAGCACCCTCTTTTCGGCTTCCCTATTTCATTTAGAAAATAGGATACCAACTACCAATGACGGAACAATAAAATACCTATACTGTAAAGCATCATACAACGTTATATTTTCCTAGCTACTTCCGCGCGGTTTCACCCGCTCTGCTTAGCTCCTATTGGTCGTAGCGTGATGTTTTATAGCCTATAGCCATCCTCGATAAATGCGCTATTCAACACAAAAAGAATTATTCAAATCAGACTTGTAGTTAGGGAGATTAACGCGTTCGAACAAACAAACAAAAAGACGACTGTGTGTGTGATAAGACCGCCCATTGTACGCATATTTACTTGAATTGTTTGTTTTAAACTACATAAATGTGTACAATAAAGCATATATAAATAAATAAATAAATAAATAAAAAAACAAACTCTTCCACTTTATATAATAATAGTATAAGATAATAACTACTGTAACATATACACTTGACCTATATTCACAATAAACGATTTGAATTTCAACGTTTGCATTTCAATAAAACAGTTTCAAGACTCATATAGCGGGAGCATGCTGCGCGACACTATGCACGGTGAAGGGGAATACCGCTGGAGATACGCAGGACCAGAGCATGCAGCCACTACTTACGAAGGCAGGTTCTACAATAACCGCATGCATGGCTATGGAATGATGTCTTATCCTGACGGACGGGTGTTCAGCGTTAGTATCTCAGTCTTTTTTTTAAGGGGGGAAAATCATCGAATGACTGCTCCCGCCTGTGTGAGGCGGGAGGGAGTGTCAGACTCTTACTGACTAAAAACCACCCCGTTGCTTCTCCTGCACGTCGAGCCGGAGCCCCGGTTACCCGCTAGGTTCTCCGCGACAGTATCTCAGTCTAGCAGTCAATCATCTCCTATTTGTTTCTCTATCTGTATAACATCGAGTTAAGATGTAATTTGGCAATATGTATCTGGCGGATAACCGGCTGACTTCCCAGGCTATGTAGTCGTCCAGCTTTTACATTCATGGCTAATATTTTTGCACCACAATGTTTATACCATCCCTCTTTTTAACTGACTTCAATATGTTTATGTTATAACTTTCGTGAGACATACTACATTAATTAGTTTTCGCCTTACTCACGTTACTGTTTGACGAGGAACTCGACTAGTTTCAAGCCATGCTAGAGGCTCATATTCATGAGCAGCATTCCGCGACCCGCGCGGTAACTGTCACGCAGCTACTGGCCGCTCGGCTCTACGGCGGTGCCGGCCCAACGCGCCCTCTGCCGTGTTATAAACGTTGTATCGGCGGCGGCGGCGCTCGCGACAGTGCTGGCACGCTAGGCTCGCTCGCCGGCGGCTGTGTAGGAGTTGGGTTCAAATCCGGGGTCAACGCTAAAACAGTGTTACACGCCACGCTTAGTGTGTCACACTCCAGACCCGCAACATTGTAGTCAGACGCAGATTTTAGACTCGGCTTCCAGGGCCTCTAGCATAGTTTGAAATTAGTAGAGTTCCGTGTCAAACAGTTGCGATACTAAGCCGAAAATATGTATAATAATTCACTTCAATATGGATGCGTGAGCGAGATCTTTTCACGATGCTACGATAATTTCCATCGTGAAGTTCATTTAATATCTATTTACAGGGTCTCTGGCATAAAAACATTCGCTGGGGTCCTGGAGTGGAGTCCCACGCGCGACTTCGTGAAGACGTGGGTCTTTGGCATGGGTACCAGCTCATCAGGCTGGCGTGGCGGCCTCATGTGCCCAGTGTTGCCATCGACATTATGTCCACCCCAGTAGGAATTAATGTGGTGGCTTCTCATCGAAAGCTCATGGCTGCGAGTCCTAAAACTGTTAGTAAAATCTAAATATTTGTCAATAATCTTATTTGTATTGTAACTTTCGTGAGACATACTAAATAAATTATTATGTTTTCGGCTTACTCACGTAATAACATGACAGGGAACTCGACTAGTTTCGAGCCATGCTAGAGGCTCATATTCATGAGCAGCATTCCGCGACCCGCGACGCGGTGACTGTCACGCTGCTACTGATTAGCAGCAGTCAAATAATCTTATTTCTCCCAGCTCAATATAATTGTACTAGCTTATATACTTTTTAATTAAGTTTATTTTAAAATCTACTGAAACTTTCTTTTAAAGGATTTATTATACGAATTTCGCACACATTTTATGCAAAAATCTCATTTATACGGGACAGATTGGTGAAGTGAACTCGGCATTAGAACTGTTGAAGCAATATGGATCAGATCCTCTAGCTGCAGCGGAGAAATGGACCAAGTTGTATCCGAAGAACTGCACAGACACATACAGCCAACTGTGCCACGTCGCAGTGTTTGACCGGGCCTACTTTAACCACGAAATACCTTTGCTTAATGAAGTTAGTTCTATACCACAGGTAAAACCTATAAAAATCATAAACTCATTAAATATATACTACCTTGCTATTCAATGGAATTTGGTTCAGGCTGCAAATTAGTTGAAACTTGAAATAGACAGACGACTTAAAGAATATTTTAATAAGATAAATCAAGAATCACTTGCAAGTAACAAAAGTAACCTGTGAATAAGCAGCATTTAAACTCCTTATAAATATAGCCAGCGAAATAAATAGAATCGTTTTATTTTTTAACCCAGGAACTTAATGCTAGTCAAAGCAGCAAAGAAAGTGTCAAGGAAACCAAGACTTACTTTGCATGGAACAATAATAAAGTTACTATTCACATGATGAAGCACTGCTTTACACATGAGGACCAGTGGAATAAATCTCGACTTAACATGAAACATATTTTGTCTGGACCGAGATCAAGCTTCAAGCAACCAGGCAAACATGAATTGGATTGTAGGTGAGCTAAACTCTTGGAACACAGAATTTCAAAATGAACAGTTTAATTCATTTCCTGAGACGTCCTATCGATTCAAAGATTCTTTTAGTCAGCATTATAGGACTAATAGCTGTTGGTCGCAACTTCGTTCGCGTAGAATATGATTCCTGTTTTATCTCACAAGAGCATTTAACCCGTCGTGTGTCTTAACGTAGATCCACGCAAGACACAATGTCACGTAGATTCACGCGTCACGATATCACGCGTGAATGGCTGGACCGATTTCATTATTTTTTTTTTATTAGTCTTATATCTTGGTCTCTTATAAATGCATTCTTACATTTTTGTTTGTATTTACTTTTACTATTTGATCTATACATTTTTCTAATCACAACTTTTCACACACATACGCACGCATACACATATGCACACATAGTCTGCAGAATTTATATTATCTATTTAATCTCATATTTAAATCTATTTTCTTTTCCTTATTGAGGGGCGGTACCGCCGTCCGTGAGTCACTGCAGGGTGCCACCTGAAAATCAGCGTTGGGCAGGAATGCTCAACTATATGCTGAGGTGGAGGCCCTTTTGACATGTGCACACGCAGTATCATATTATTTATATTATGGTGTTTTTTTTTGTGTATTTAATTTGTTTGTATGTACATTATTTTCTTATATTTTGATGATTTTTACTATTTTCTTTATGCTTTTATGTTTCCTTTTGATATTATGTATTTGTGTAAGTATGTACTTGTATTTTTTTTTTGTATTTTTCTTTTTTTTTTTCATAATCTTTGTTTGTGTGCCATGTGCCAAATAAATGCTTTTTCTTTCTTTCTTTCTTTCTCTTTTTTTTGTATTTGTTATTATTAGGTGAAGGTAGGGAAGAAAAATCTTGAAACGCCTACGGAAACGGGAGAAAACGGGATTGCGCGTACAAAGTCGCGGGCAGAAGCTAGTGTTATTATATTTCGAGATAGGCTAGTTACTGCTAGGTGCAACAAAAGTATGGTAAAATTAAATGATGATCTAGATTTGGTTAGAGTTTTTGTAAATTAAATCCTTCTCGTCATATTGTAGGTGCTTACTAATGGCAAGCTATTTAGGGCACATCTCGAATGTTGCTCAGCTTGTAAACGAGTATGACGTCATGCCCGATATCACTGATAATCAAGGGAACTCTGCTATAATGTATGCAGCTGTAAGTAACAAATTTATCCTTTGTAAAAACTTTTAAAACCTTTAAACCGTAGAATGTAAAGACAAAAAACGAGTTTCTTGTCTACCTCGGATTTTCTGGTACTGTCATCGTCATTATAGTCAACTGAACAAAGAGAGAACTTACCCTAGAAACCACCTCTTTTTTTACTGGTAGGGGCATTCTATTACCATATTGGAACTATTAACATTTTATTTGTTTCCTCTTCGACGCTTGTGAGTAATCATCCTAATTTAAATCTTTTCAATCCGTTCTATTATTCTGCTAGTTTTAACCGACTTCAAAAAAAGAGGGGTTGAAATGCTTTTATTTAACTTCCTTTATAAACGAATTGTTTATAGTCATAGTTTTTATTCCCTGTAGTGTGGAGATCAACCAGATATAATACATTTTCTCGTGGAAGCGGGAGCTGAAGTTGACGCATTCAATGATGCCTGTTGCACTCCACTGGGAATCACTATTTTAAGGTATGCGTTGGAGAAGTGGAATTTACCGTACAATGTTATGCTGCAAGCCATTTTACCTCCACCTGCCTCAGGACCACGTAAGTACTGACCACCTTCTACACTACATTGATCCAGTATTATATTAGAGTACATTTCCTTATTTTTCTATTTTAAATTCCGGAATAATAGCCGATTGTGTGCCATTCCAATTAAAATGGTATAGGTACACAACTTTTTAGACAGTAAATTTTGGCTGTGCCGTTCAGTACATCTTCCAAAATAAAAACAGATCAAATGTCAAACATGTTCTTTCAGCTCCACCGGATGGAAAAATACTCGAATGGAATATAACTAGAGACCCGCAACATACAATGGAACGGTCCGAAATGCATAGATCTCCCAGTAAAGTAAATACTAAATTATCGCCTGCCACCAAACCCTCGATAAGCGTTCAACAGCCGTTAGTAAAGAAAAAGTCCGAAAAAAATGACTTAGAAACGAATGCGACTCCCAATACTCATGATGATAAGCGTATGTATGATAGCCTTAATCTCGAATACATGATAAAAGTCGCAGAAGCGTACTCAGTACTTTGTGAGGTGAACCCAGTACCGTACATATTTGAAGTTTACAATATGTGCAAAGATGTTGAAGTGTTCTCTGGGGACGAACCAAAAAAAGTTATTGAAAAACTTATGAAGAAATCACAATCGAAAAATATAAAACAATCAATGAAACCTAGTAGAGACATGATGTATCAGGATCAAGAGGATAGTCTGATAGATGCTAAAGAACAAATGAAGCAAGAAAAGTGAGTGCATTTAATTGTTTTACTGTATTGTTGAACTAGTGATACGCGTTGTACAATACAAAGCTTGCAAATAATGTACCGGCTAACTTTAACTTAGAAATAGGTATCTATCGTAACCCGTTCTTCTAATTCGTCTTTTATTTTTAGGGGTAGTCAACCGTCAGCAAGCAGTTCAGGTTTATCTTATCTTTAAAGTTTTTTGTTTATAGGTATTAGATAATAATTGGTATAATTCTCCACGGATTCGTGACCGTGCCTTTGTCATATAATTAGCTACATTGCATCCTTAATGTTTTGAAGTCCACACCTTATTCGTTGATCATTATTTTAGGTAAAGGCTAAGTACATATATATTCTACATTAATAATTTCTACAATTTCAAGGTTTGGGTTTCAGGTTATCGAGGATCATGGCGACAATCACTCTGCTATTGGCGGATGGTGCGGACCCTCGTATTATTCGATGTCCTCAGCCGCCACTGTTCATGGCTGCGGTAGCCGGCTGTCCAGACCTCGTGCAAGACTTAGTGAAACATGGTGCTGATGTTAATGAAGTTTATCCTCAAGTAACTATTAAATGCTACTAATTCCCGTTACTCACATAATATTTTTTATGAATGAGGGATATTATGACCAGTGCCATCACGAATATAGTTACTCTGGCTAGTAACTCCAACAAAATGTTAAAATCCAGGTAAGCAAGTATTTTCTCATTTATAAAGTTAGGTTAGTTTTCCAGGTCCATTTACAATCATGACATGACAATATGAAGTTCAATATTTATAAAAAAATCGTATAGTTAAATAAGACACTTCACATTATTTTTTTTGAATATTGAGTAACTTACTACAGATACACAGGTAAGGTATAACCCGAATAACTTAATACTTTAATGGAATCCTACGTCTTCAGGCATATGAATACTCGGCATTGGACATAGCAGTCAGTGCACCGGTCAGTTACGAAAACTTGTCGGTGATTCGTGCATTACTGGAGTGTGGAGCCAATCCAGACCACCGCCTAAAGATCCCAGAAACAGCATCACCTTCACCCACTGCTCCAAGTGCAACATCTCCTGAAATAATCGACGCTGGTCCAACTTTACTGCACGCAGTACTTTCAAAGAAAATTGATATTGCCGACCCTGATGATACACATTTGTTTGAAGTAAGTACTCTTTTATGAGCAACGAAGGTATTAGCTTTAACCCAACATTTATTTCTTATTTCTCCCTCTATCCCACCCTGGACGACTCTGGTTGAGCATTAATATATCTTTGACTGCAAAAAAATTGGAAGCTAATCCTCCTCCAGTGTCGCTGTCCGGTAAACCCCATGGCGTGCCTTTTCTTTGCTTTTTTATTTATGCTAACACAATTTAATAACTGAATTACAGATACGTGATAAAATGATTGAATTACTCCTCAAACATGGCTGCAATCCAATAACCCAATACAATGGCGTCTCGGCTGTGGATCTCGCTATGAATAAGTGTCTGGACCTATTTGATATATTCGTGAAAAGCCCCCGAACCGACCTAAATGCAATCATCAATGACTTAAATCAGACTATACTGGTGAAGATGTTCTATTTACCCTTCTGCAAGAGTATCCCTTTAACGGAACGATTACAGACGGTACGTAGTTATAATAATGTGTTATCACGGGAGTTCACGAGCAATCAACAGCATTGTAAATATTAATACCCGCTTGCGCATCACGCAGATGGAGCAGTAGCATCATAGTAATGCGTTTACAACTTTCAGTTGACAAATCTGCTGCTGTATGGTGCAGATCCATTGCTGAAATGCCAAAATGGAATAGAAGAATATGGGAATCTGTTTGTCTTTGCAAGAAAAATGTTAAGTGATGTAGAAACAACTCGGAAATCAGTCAATCCAGCAGGTAAAGTAATTTTTGAAAATCAGTATCATGTCATATCACGGTATAATTATACATAGGCTTATGTTATTTATACATATACAGCAGTAAAGAAATCTAAGAGCGATGCGAAAACTAAGAAAGACAAGAAGGACGCTCCATCAAAACACGGTTTGTTAAAAACCAGTGACGACAATCAAGGAGATTATAAGCAAGCCTTGGAACTGGTGGTTGACTGCGCCAGGTTACTGTACATCCGATGGTTACAAGCTAAGCTCATGAAGGAGCTGATTGATATTGTTAACAAGTAAGTCATGATAATTGAGATTTAATAATATACCATAATAATATTAATGTCATCTAATAGTAAAAAATACACAAATCGTAGTTACTAGATACCGGTTTTGCCTACTTAAAAATAATAGGTTAGGTACCTACCTACTATTTAACATCATTCATTCGTCATTTGATGAAGAATAGCTTACTGAAAGAGAAACTATATAAATACTGAACTTATTTATTAAGGTATCGCCATCGTTCATGGAACATGATAATAAAGGAACATAAAAACAAAAAGTGCACAGGGCTCTGGCTGACTGTTGTCCGTAGCCTCGAAATTTGGGACGTTTTAAAAACATCAAAGAAAAAACTTTACAATGATGAAAAAATCCTGAAACAAGTCCTATGTATTATTCATTTTTACTATAAAAGGACGAGGAAGATTATACGCATACCTTTGACGTTCCAAGATAAAGAAATAATAGACCGTGAAGTAGCCACTTTAATTCATGAACATAAGTTGGCCACAATTTCGACGCCGGACATGGTTCCTGCTATACGACCTTACGTAGCTCCAGAACTTACCGTAAAGGGGGTAAGCAAGTCAATTTTCTTTAATATCTATATTAAAACAAATAGTATAAAACTACTCGCTAAACTTCACAATAAGTACCTACTTATTTAATTAAAGGTACTTTCAGATAGAGAAGTTCAACGTTTGTTTTGAATGTGCATTGCCTTTACAAGATTCAAAAATCATATGCGGCTCATGTAAATTAATCGATTTTTGCTCTGTGGATTGCATTGCACGAAACATCGAAAGGATTAATTGCCATCCATGCAGCAGCTTTCTGAAACACAAATACTTCCCCACACCAGAACCTACGGTAACTGACACTGCAGAAGATTCTGAAAACAAAACATAATGACAATCATAGTTTGTATTATATTCCTAAAACTGAAATAAATAAGTTACGTCGTGTTTTGATTAATATTTTCCTTTTTCTCATTATAATAAATACATTATCTAATACAATAAAAACGAAAACATACAACATTGCGTGAAATGAAAAGGCAAGGTACTAGGGTACATAATAAATACCTAAGCTTTGACATGAATGATGAAACTCCTCCTCCTGTCAGTTAACTTTATTATCTGTATTGGGTTTTATGTCTGTGTGTCGCTTTGTTATGGCGCGTTCGTGGGTTTAAAGATTTACTATTTTCTATGAGATTTCTTTATAAACCATTAACTGGTGTGATAAAAATGGCTTCCGCTGCAAAAAAACCAAAGCTTTCAACAGCTGCTACATCACAGAGTAATGGGATTCCCTCAAAATCTAACGATATCGAAGAATTTATGAAGAAATTACAATCAAAGCGCGAAGGGACTGCTGCTTCGATATTGGAGTATAAATTCAATAAAAAGCGTGTCCGAATCGTGTCTCAGGAGCAGATGGTGCCTGATAAGTTGGAGGGGGTGGTATATTGGATGTCCCGCGACAGCCGGGTCCAAGATAACTGGGCCTTCTTGTTTGCTCAGAAACTCGCTCTCAAACACGAAGTACCGCTGCACGTGTGTTTTTGTTTGATAGCTAAATACTTAGATGCCTCTGTCAGACAGTTTGATTTTCTGATAAAAGGTATAAACTTTATGTAAACAGTTTGAATGTAACTTACCTCTGTAACTGATAGTATGCTGGTTAACTTACTACCTTGACTTCAATATGTTTTCAGGGTTAGAGAAGGTAGCAGCTGATTGTAAAAAGCTGAACATATCATTTCACTTACTGGAAGGGAGTGGAGATGAAGTGTTGCCTCAGTGGGTGGTGAAACACAACATTGGAGCTGTGGTGTGCGACTTCAATCCATTGCGGGTCCCTCTAGGCTGGCTGGAAGGTGCTAAGAAGAAACTTAAGAAAGATGTTCCTCTTATACAGGTAATCTTTTACATTATACTGTTATTTCTATTTATTATGAATAAATAGCTTGATGAATATTATAAAGGTAACAATCTACTGAACAGCTGTGTGATAATAACTACACCTAAACATGTACTGTCATGATCATGTGTGTATTTTTTTTTGAATATTAAAAACCATATATTTTAATCTTACATACAAAGTTATTATGGTTATTATGTTATTCTAATATATTTCTTGTTATGTACTTCAGGTAGATGCCCACAACATAGTGCCCTGCTGGGTGGCATCAGAGAAACAGGAGTACTCAGCAAGGACAATAAGAAATAAAATTAATTCAAAACTTGATGAATACTTGACTGAGTTCCCACCAGTTATCAAACATCCTTACACTGCCAAGTTTGAACCCGAGGTATGTTTCAATTTGTATTCTACTATAGTACATTCACATTAACTCGTCGAGTACCGGTTTTATAGACACAATTAAAGAACAATAGGTCGCGGTCACCGGTGACCGCTTAGTGTTTGACAGTTTAAGAATACAGTAAGTCATCATTTTCCGTCGGCCTAGCCCCATTCCTTAATCTGATTTTAAACTGTTAAGTGTATTTCTATAAATTCATGAAGCTATCTTTTAAAATATATTTGATTTCTGTAACTAGTCGAGTTCCTCGTCAAACATATATGTGAGTAAGCCCAAAACATAATAATTAATTATAGTATGTCTCACAAAAGTTTATATAAAAAAGCTTGTAAACAGTACTGGTAGCAGTTGTTTTGTGTCGTATTGTGACAGAAAACAAAACTGTCACTACATTATATTTATAGTCCCGCTACTATTGCTGAGTATTTCAAAATTGCATGATAGAATGTAATCTAGGGATCAATCATGACGCCCAAGGTTTATACTTGTCACAATAAGAATGTTGATGTTGATTGAATGTCTGCTTAATAAAGATGGATGGATGTTTGCCATTCTTTCACATAAAAAAATTATGGCCTAAAATTTGCCGCATTTTTATAGTTTCGATAATTTTTCATCTCAGAAATATATATGAAGGTGCTGGCAGAATCTGCTATATAATACACTAGCTACTTCTGCGAGGTTTCACACGCTCTGCTCGGCGCCTATTAATCGTAGCGTGATATTTTATAGAGCCATCCTTGATAAATGCACTATCCAACACAAAAAGAATTATTCAAATTAGACTTGTGGTTACGGAGATTAGCGCGTTCAAACAAACAAACAAAAAATAACAAACTCTTCAACTTTATAATATTAGTGTAAATAATATTCATGATTTTTAAAATTATACCTTATCACAATATCTTGCACAACTTTCCAGCCCATAGATTGGGACGAGGCTATAGTATCCAGAGAAGCTGACAAAAATGTAGGCCCTGTGGACTGGGCCCGGCCAGGGTATGACAATGCCCTCAAGATGTTGAAGAGTTTTCTTGACCAGAGGCTCAAAGAGTTCGCAACTAAAAGGAATGACCCCACTAAGGATGCTCTCAGTAATTTGTCACCTTGGTTTCATTTTGGTAAGTTCTATACACCTGTTGATTGTTATTGAAGTACAATTAAATATTAGTCCAAACAAACTAAAAGTATATAGTTATACTTTATAACATTGCTAAGATTCAGAAATTCGAACGGAGAAAAAGAAACAGGACCATACACAATCTTGTCACAGTTAACCACTTAACAATCGGTTACTAGTCACAGACAGACAGGAACTTAACTTAAAGAAAATGTTCATCAATGTTTCAGGCCAAATATCAGTACAAAGAGTAGCGCTATGTGTTCAAGAACATAAAGGAAAACAAACTGAATCTGTGAATGCATTCCTGGAGGAAGCTATCGTGCGCCGCGAGTTGGCGGATAACTTCTGTTTCTATTGTGAACATTACGACAGCATCAAAGGGGCCAGCAACTGGGCACAGAAAACACTAGATGATCACAGGTTAGTTTTATTCTTACACTATATATTTTAACTATTTATTCTTTACCCAAAAAACGGACGAATCCGCAGCAATCTACCACTCAATGATGATAGCTACTAAGCTACCTAGTTGCTCGAGAAATCGCACTTACGACTGCCGAGCAAGGAACTCGGGCATAATTCCCTTTAGTATAAACTTATACGAAAATTTATTCGACGACTTTGTTAAACATGTATGGGTAACTACACTGAGATCCATCTAGGCTCACATAGTAGCGTAGCTATCGGTAACTACACTGAGATCGATCTAGGGTCACATAGTAGCGTAGTAGTGAGCTGACCCATAGTATTTTTTCCAATCCATGTTAGATGCTTGGACCTAACTGTTATAATAACTATGATACTTATCACATTAGCCATCTCGTAACCAAATAAACAAAACTACAAATTTAACTTTCTAAAGCTTCAGTTTTTCATTTCTTTCCTTGTTTAGAAAAGACAAAAGAACCCACATTTACACACTGGAGCAATTAGCCAAGTCGGAGACACACGATGATCTGTGGAACTCAGCCCAGATACAACTAGTGAAGGAAGGCAAGATGCATGGCTTCCTGCGCATGTACTGGGCCAAGAAAATCCTTGAGTGGACCCCAACACCTGAAGATGCTCTGAAGTACTCAATATACTTGAATGATCACTACAGTATCGATGGACGGGATCCAAATGGATATGTTGGTAAGAACTAACCCTCTATTTTTTTTTACAAAATTATCATAACTTGAACTTCGATTGTTAACTTATTTGTTAGATGTTCTTCAGTCATTCCATAAATGGAGATTTCTCGAGAGTGAATTTATATCCACTCTTAGCTCTAAAAAACGTGAAGGCGGCAATGCTATTGCTGAGTCACGCTGCAAGTCTCGAATTCATTCTCGTTATGACTTGGGATTTCTGCATTCGGTATTCTAAATCAGGGCTGTCCAAACAAAGGACCACGGGCCTCATGCAGCCCGCGGCTTGTTGTCATGTGGCCTGCGAAACACATTTTAATCGCAACATCTCATTATACAACGTGAAAATATTTTTCTGGCCCTCCAGCTTTTGTAAGAAATTTAATTAGCCCGCGAGTGTTTATAGTTTGGACAGCTCTGTTCTAAATGGACGCTGACAATCCAAGTGACATGTATTATGGTAAATTATTTCGCGATTTGTAATAGTTAATTATCTAAGTTCAAAATAATTTATTACATTTATCGATGTTTTTGCAGGATGTATGTGGTCAGTTTGCGGTATACACGACCAGGGGTGGGCCGAGCGCGCGGTCTTCGGCAAAATACGGTATATGAACTACGAAGGATGTAAACGGAAATTCGATATCAAAGCATTTATAGCTAGGTACGGCGGGAAAGTACACAAGTATGTACCTAAGAAATAAGAATAATTAAAAAAAATCTCGATTACGAAACAGACTGATGTGGAGATCTGTATGTTTAAAAACGTAAGTTTAAGGTTTTGTATTAAGTAGTTATTGTAATTAGTTGTAGTTTTGAATTTGTTAATTATTATTAATAGTCTACTAACCGTTTTCCTCCTAATTACCTCGGCTTTGTATAGCATAAAGATCTGTTGGTCTACATGGCCATATACTACAAACTACTAATATCTAGACTATATTTTTTAATGTTTGAAACATAATTTGTTAGATGTTACCAATTTTATTTATGTATATCACGATCAAAATGAATACGAGTACAAATTATAATTAAGAATACGGTATACAATACCTTAAGTTTATTTGTGTTATTTAATTTAGTATTCCGTAAAATACTTTTGTGTATCACAAATCTCAATAATTATTATTATTTTGTTATACAAATATGTATTTATTGTAGTATTGTATGATCTTCTTGAGTGTTGTTACCACATACCTCTGCTCTACCTCATTTAGGTTAAGTTCGTAAACTAAGAACTTTTGTAAAGTGTGTTACAAATACTAAAATAAAACATCATTTGCTTATAAATATTTTTATTTAAGAATGTGAGTTCTTGTAGTTACATTTTCTCATATATTTCGATAATAATCTTCATAAAATTAGAAATAGAAAAATAATATCAAAGAGCTATTTTCTTCATTGGAACTTTTCGGTGAGTCAGGTTATATTGCATTTGATTAAAATTTCATCACGTTTTGGGCAACTAGTCAAGGGCTGAATGCTTTTGGAACACTAGCTATATTGAAAAGCATTCAAAATAATCATTTTCTCACAATATCATATAAAAGCAAAATTTATAGTAATTTCACGTCAAATTGTCTTAAGAAACACAAAACCATAACGATTTTCTATTATGTCTCAAATTATTATTATTACATGGGTACATATAGTCTACAAAGAAAAATAATAGGAAAACATGATTTCACCACACAACGACATATCAACAAACGGAAAGAAATCTAGTGACATTGACTGTTTCACATTATTATGGATATTGAATTTATTATGATTGAATATAGGCATATGAATACCCGAGTAACTGTTTCAACTATGAACACAAATCGTGGCTCGCTTCTATTAACATATTTCACTAATACACATTACAGCACAAGGGCTATTACACCTTTACTTTCAACATACAAACATTAGCTTACAATAAGGCTCTCAATTAAATTTCATAGAAAACCCGAGATAAACATGTCGTAAACGGGTAATAAAGGTACCGAGATCATAACCAAATTCTCAGTCGTGTTAGGTTAACTCAAAAGGAATGTGCTAATTCCAAGCTCTTGCAGGTTAAGGCAGAATTCGGTTACAACCCCCCAACGAAACGAAAAATAAAGAAAATAGTCGTCAAAAAGAGGCGACACTAGGTTAAAAAACTAATTGATTGTTGTCTATGCTCCCCTGTGTCAGTGTGTGTGTGAAAGCAGAGCTACATTCGCTGTTACGGGCGCAGGACGGTGCTCCACGGACGCGGACTGCTTACTGCACGCAGCAGTTGGGACCTTTGTGCCCGTTCTTCTTCAGCCGAGACTTCGGCCGGTACTTCTCCAAGTACGACAGTTGCTTCGCGTTGATGGCACCGCGGCGTTGACTGAAATAGAACGGACATGTAAATTACATCGCTACAAGGAAAACATTGGATGCATTTTATTGCACTAAAAAGGTAATGCAATTTTTATTTCCAAATCACATCTTATTAAAATGCACATAAATATACATTAACACGTTAGTCATTCAATTATCAATTAATTTATATGTACGTCACGCTTCTTAGCATCCTGCAAAGTATATAACGTGCAAGCACTTTAATAGGTGCAGAGTGATATCGACGAAATCGTGAGGCGTTGATTAGAATGGCGCGAATATTTTCAATTATCGTGTCGAATTGGATACCATTTTTCTCTTTTGAAGGACGATTTTCAGTCATAAATAGATCGCAATAAATACTTTGTTTGAATCATACGCTCAACAATAGTGTCTACTTCAAAAGGTTCAAAACTGATAACATCAATGTTATTGTGTTGCATCAACCAGTATACTCACTCTCGAATAGTTTCCACGGCTTCTTCGTACTTCATGCCGAGTTCGATAAGAGCGATGGCCACCATGACGGGTGCGCGGCCCAGTCCTGCCACGCAGTGCACCGCCACTGCAGCCTCAGGCTTGTTCTGCGCTCTGAATAGTAAAAAAAAAACGAATATTTAATAAAGTACTAGTTATTTATCATTCTCGAAATATGTTCAACGTAAGTTCCAAAATTATTCAGTCCTTTGAGGAAAGCGTATGTCAACATAAACATATTACGTATAATTGCTAGTGTTTAACTAATAACTTAAACAATCAAGAGAATCACGACCCAAACAAGGCAATTTACATAATTCGAGTTACGTGGAACAATAACACTGCGTAGTATTAACACAACTTTAATAGATATCAAATAAACCGGCGAATTCGAAATTTATGTAGGTAGTCTGTCGATCATAATCAGTGCGTCACTGCTACATTACGCAACGATAACTTTGGATGTGCGTCATCCAATAATAAATAGCATTTACTATAATAATTGAGCAAACAATACTTTTCATATGCTTACGAGCTAAATAGACTAAATATTTGCAGCAGAATTCAAAACAATTTACGAATTATGTAAGGAAAAATAAAGGAAACAAGGCACTTATTTTCTGGATATTAGTTACCTACGTATACTGCCACAGAAGGAGAAAACAGGCAAGCAATGATCCATGTCAATTATACATGACTACCGGTCAATTAGTCATGGTAGTGTCGTGAAGGACAGACGCAAATGTACTTAGTTCTCAGGATAAAAAATGCCACCAATTTGCCAAATGCGATCTAAGATTAAAACTATTTGCAGAGCATACTCATACTCACTTTTCACGCAGAATCTCAAACCAGTCGTCGACGACGTTAGCAGGTGGGAAGGTTCCGTCGTCGTAGGCGAGGTCACGTACTTCAATGTTCTCGGCCTTCAGCGGCGCCGTATCATAGCTAGGCTCGCACACGCGTACCACCGTGCACACGTTGTGCTTCCTCAGCTCCTGCACCAAAACACAAACATTCATTAATTCATTATAGCACTGTCATGTTAGCCTTGAACAAAAATTGGAGAAAATTGACTCTTTGGATGCTTATGCCTATTTCCAGTACAGGTAAAGGAGTATTGATGTTTTCTGGAAAAATTGGAAAAATCGGTAATGAAACCTAATCAAATTCTTTGTGGGTCAATGGATAAGTCGTCAAAGATTTTAAATAACTAAAAAATACGTAACTATAAACCTTCCTCTTGAATTACACTATCTATCTATTAAAAAAACCGCATGAAAATCATGCGGTTTTTTTAATTATTAGCATATAACAATAGGTAGCAAATTTTGAAAATCGATGCTTTCTTAAAAAGACAGCAGAAAGCTACTTTATTCTAAGTGTAATGATTAATAGATCTGTCATAATGTTTACAAACTATGTGGTATGAAATAAGTGAGGTAAAACCAGTTAATTTAGTCGAAAAGTCGAAAGATATTAAAAAAGCGCGAAGAATAATTTAAGGAAGCCAAAGAAAACAGCTAGAATTGCGTTTTAAACTTGTAGACAAACATAAAAGTTTCCTAAAATCTGATTTAACCGTTTTAGAATTAAACAAAAGGTGTCATGTGTCAAGTTCTTAGTATAGCTATTCTTTCTTTAGGGTAACTTCTTCAAAGCATTCTAATTTAGTGTTGTAAGTTAAATTGCAGTGTTCTTCTGTTACCTGTGCATAGACATGACAATAAGACTTCCAAAGAATGGTTAACTTTTCTCGTCGTGAGACAATATACTAAATTGAATAGTTCACAAGAGTAAGCTATTTAACGTCAACCAGTTTAAAATTATAAAAACAGTATATTTACCTGAAGATAGGACTGAATGGTGACGTCGGATGGGCGGTCGGTGATGAGAAACCGCATGTTCTTGTACTCGATTAGCGAGGGCGCCGGCCTGATGTCCTTCTGCTTCATGATGATCGAGTTGCTTCGCTCTGGTCACACAATATACCACACCTGGCTGGTTCTTATGCACACGCGTCAGAGAAAGATGTCACGGTCCGTCACAGTCTAACAGACAAACTGTCACTCTATTTCCACACAACACACGACAGTTTCGTTACTTTTGTTTAGAAAGGGTCCAATTATATAATGAGAACCACCCGCATGGATGTCGCTTTCAACCACTAGATCGCATTCGGAGACGAACAAACAAAAGTTCAGAATGTGGAATGGAACTAAAAGAAATTATGCGAAAAACATAAGTTTTGTTATCACACGAACGTCGGCAACTGAATGATATGCTTCAATTATGTGGTTTCCGAATTTAAGGTAACTGAAACAAAAATAAAAGTTTTGTTAATCTCAGCAACTCCGCCAGTACCGCGCTGTGATTTACGGCGAATATCATATTTAAATGTATTTGCGTCAAAGCCAGACCAACGACTGAAGTGGAATAAAAAATGGATTCTAAAAATAGTGTTCGGTATACAGCGAAGTTTCGGTCATGTGGACGTGCAATGTTCTGGACGCCTATGTCTGTCCATCGACATTGGTATTTCCGAGCTGATCCAGAGCCAACATCGCGTCAATTGTGGACGTGCTTCACACAGTTCAGCTCTCTTATACACACAACACAACAGTATGATAACACAATATGTAAACACTGCGCCATCTGAACAACATTGCTGCTATATTGTATTTCGATAAATACCTGTTCAACAAATGCACGTATTATATTATTATAGTGATGTAACGCGTTAGGTAAACGAATTCAGTTACACTATTATCACTGGTATCGCGTTCTTGTCTTGGTCAGGAGCAGATAACAACTGATAGTTCGGTCGTGGGACGGCTTCGGTATACACTGTACACCCCACTCTGATTTCAATATGGCGGTTGAACGCTATTAGCTAGAGATTGTGTTCGTATTACCTGTGGGTGGGTGTACGTGGTACAGTTGGGGTGCGTAATGTCGCGCTCTCCCGGCAGCATGGGTCCAGCGGTGGCACGTTCCGCTCCCTCGTCGCACGAAACGCCCTGCAGTTTATTTGTGTTGGGCCTGGCAGTACTCCGCGCTGTCCAAGCGGAACTCCATCAATGTCACCACAGAAGGGATCTCCAGCTGCGACAAAGAAAACACTAATTTAGCAAAATGAGTCGATGTTTTTGTTATGACCCTGTGAAGATGTTTACACTATGAACACAACGATTATTTCTTGGAAGTCGTTATATTAATAGCTTCAATGGACAACGTGAAACAGATATAAATGCAGCAGTTTAATGTTTTATCAATTGCTAAAAGAACACGAAAGATCAACAACTTGTACAGTATTTGTCTTGGATATCACTGTTGCATTCGGTCCTTCGTGATAATAGACACATATCTAACATTTGCATTTAAAAATTTACCCAATATAGATTAAACACGTACATAAAAATTGTTGTTTCAAACTTCTACATGTTCTTCTCAAACACTTATTAACACATTTCTAAAAAACTGAAGATCACGAAATTTATTTAATAAATGCGGTATAAATGAGAACAGTGCCGTTAGCACAACATAAATTATATCGTTTGCCCTCAAAATATGTGGCATCTTACGCGTGAATGTTGGGTGTCTAATTAACCACTTAAATCGAAAGAACAATTTTATCACAATTAGCACAAAACAATAAAGACGACGAATTACAGGGGCGACGCAGGTTGAACTCTGAAACAGAGCAGCAGCGGCGTACGAGATGTTGGCAGCTGCGATGCCGGCGTGGGATTTACTTATACACGTCATATGTTTACATTTAAATTTACAATCGTGTTTAATACTGGTGCAAAACATTGGCAACGTTCACATTCACTTTTCACCCTCACTCAAATACGTTGCTCTAAAAATCGCAATATTTTGTAATGCTATCACATTATTTCCTTCAGAATTTATCAAGGAGACGACGCAGACTTGGGATCAGGCCAAAAGGAACAGTGATTCGCGCGGACAAACATATCTCAGCGTGAATTTAATTTTCCTTGAGCGAATATAGATTCCTTATTCCACAGAATAACACAACAATCTCTTAAAATTGCGGAATTATTGTAGATTTTTTATTATAACAACAAAGTGGCTGCACAAGATAATTGCTCATTCAATATATTCCAGATGAAATGGTCAACACACGATAAAAATAAGAATGACATTGTCACAAAAATAGCACGTTATCTACTTATACACGCCACTGATTTATGAAATGGCGAAGTTACCGGTCTTTATGTATTTGTAACAATTTTAGGAACGACGTATAACACGTGAAAATACAAAATATGTTAATTAGCCTACATTCTCAAAATAATTAGGTTGTAATAACGTAGTTGCTAGTGCTATTTGATGCGTTGTACAATTGTGTATAGTATATTATTGCTCATTCATAAATAAATAAAATATGGTTATAAATGAGTTGGATATATGTATAGAAATGTGTGCTATAAATCACTAGTGAAACAAAGAGAGAAGTCTACAGGCGAAGGGAGGACGGTGTGGACTAGACGCGACGGTCGATAAACTTGAGCCAGACAGTACACACATGTGCAACAATGCAGACAATCCAAGTCTAACATCTGTAATATCTGAACCCGAGAGAACGTCTAGCCACTAGCCGCTTTAGAAAGCTACAACCAATAAAAATGGCAACCATTTAAGATATCAGAATTAGCCACAAACATTTAGGTGTTTTACTAACGTCCAGTTTCAATAACCTATCTATCTGTAGATTTGCTTACTAGAGATAGAATTTTGACATAAGCTCCATACAAAAAGTGTCAAATTTCTATCTCTAATAAGCAAATCTACAGATAGATAGGTTATTGAAACTGGACGTAAAACAGTAATACAAATATCATAATGATGAATGAGAATACATGAATAACTGAGAAATAACTTTGAATATTTGTCAATTTTTCAATACTAAAAACTATCGAAATGTCATTTTTATTCTACAGTTAAGAATCAACGAATGATCGAAAAATCTGCCTTAAATAAGCATTACATAAGTCATTATTGATGTATATGAACATAGAACGGGAACAATATTTTGATTGACACTATTCATAGGTGCAAGGGCACGAGGATGCGGATGTTATTGATCTATCAATAGCACTGGCAGTCTAACTATGGCATTCAATGGACGAAGACTAACAAAACATAGCTCGAATTTATAGTGTCGACACGTGGCATACTCCGCCATATTGTAGTTGTAACGTAGTACTTGAGCAACCGCAAACAATTATTGAAAACAATGTACCTAATTGTGTCGGTCAAAGTCACGCACAACTATTAACTATTGTTTAGTTTTAGAATTAATGTGGAGAATGGTATTTAACAAGTTATAAATATCTGTTTTGCAAGATTGCAAGGAATAGGCAACTTCTGAAGTACGAGATGAATTTATCATAATTGTGCTCATTTTTATCGATGATTCATGGACTATTGAAGTTGAACAGTTAGAGCATCATATATCATTACATGGCGTAGCATCCAAAAACTGTATTTCCCGAGAGATCGATTATTCCTGTAATGACTAAAACATGACGAGGTTGTCGTACCGCAAGATCTACGCAAGTGGTCATTTTGCTTCATTACCGGTAATTCCAGGAAGCAGTCATTACAAGCTTCGATGTTGTTTACTCCAACTTCAATTAAAACGCAATTTCTTTCATGATAATTTAGTGGTCGGATATTTTGCTATAGGTAGGTACCTACACAATGTAGTCAAATCAATTACATAGATTCAGGTTTTTATTACTACCTACATTAAAATATCCGTTTACTCTTAATTTGTACATATTAGTTGATTTAACCCGTCGAGCGTCCGCGTTCCTTATGGTCCAACGGGTGCACACGTGACATTTGGAGCATTATTTTTTTCTTATGATCCACCGAGTGCTCATAAGGACGCTCGAGGGGTTAACAATAGATTTTTAAATTGTCGCTGTAATAGACGTAAACCCCTTACAAAACGCTAAAGGTTCTCTGCTGTGCATCTTGGGCTAAATGCAGAGCACATAGCACTTGCATTTAAGTGTGCACGACACAGTTGTTATTAATCAGTGCACAACGAATACAAGAAATACCGGTTCTTAATTTATTTCGCTACTACGTTTAAACAGGAAGTAGCCCTGAGATATTTCTAATATTCATTGAAGAAATTTTTATTTCTCTAATATCGATTTTAAGAACCAAATTACATAAGGTTTATTATCAGACTACTCAATCATATCTTGGTAATGCAAAACAGATCAAGCTGATACTGATATCTGCCTATCTCCAGGGATTATTATGAACAATACACTTATAATTTAGCCGCGGAGCGAGTTCACAACTCAGCAATTGAAGGTCACTGGCAGATAAACAAAATACTAGGCATATGAACATGAACGTAAATGATATAGGTACCTATCTACTTTAAACATTTTATCATGTTGTACCTCACTTAGTACACACGATGACGCAAAAAAGCGATATTTATCCTCATTCCAAGTTATCGGTCAGAAATGACATTAAATATAAATTTTTAGAGCAACTTAAGGTGTGCTCGAATGTCTGATTATACCTACTTCAAATTTTAGCTAGAGGTATAAGACGCAATATTTATGTAATAGGTAGGTATACCAATTATATTGTGATATCACGAAGCGTAATAGCAACATCCACATTTAAAACTATTTGACTTTGAATTACTCCAACGCACCTCGTTTGTTACCTATTAGAGTGCGGTTCATACATAACATACATGACATCATGCTTGCAAATTGTAATCCCAAATAGAGGGATCTAGATTGACCATTATAACATGTAACTGCATGAAGCACCTTCTGACCCGTGATTTAACTGCTTTAAAATAATTCTTAGTATGTGGATCGATAAATCTGCAAAGCTAATGTCAAAGTAGTAAGTTTCCCAACCAGTTTGACATTTCTATTTTTGAATC